GCCCCTCTTCTTCCCCTTTTTCCCTTTTGGTTTTTTTCCCTCCCGGGGTTTTCCCGGTTTTTTTCCTCTTTTTTCGGGTTTTTTCTCCCCCCCCCCCCCGTTTTTTTTTTTTTTTTGGCCCCCCCCCCCCCCCCCGTCTTTCTTTCTCGACGACGGCGTCCACCACTTCGGTCGGTCGGTCGCGTGTAGTACAACCAAGACCCGCTGTGCAAGCTGTTCTCGGTAATCCTCGGCCTGCTAGGAGTTCGCGCGATGGTGGACCCTTCCGCCGCCGCCGCCACCGCGACCAGCTCCGACGCCAAGAAGACCAACTAAACTTGACGTTGGGGGCGTTTGGTTACATCACCTTTTAGACAATGGGGGTATCGAGAGCTGGAGGTTCATTTTTGGTGGCATACGTGCTTGCTGCCAACACAAGGCAATACGGCAGTAGCACTCCCTTCTTTTTTTTCTCGCGTGCTTGCGCTCTCCCGCGTCGGTTGCTAATTAATGCCGACCGCCGTTTTTAGACTATATACCCGCAACCGATGCGGTGCAATGCAAATACATGTACTGCCAACGGCACCAGAGACGCGAGGGCGGGGCGCACGCTTTTTTTCCCTTAGATCATTTTTAGAAGTTTATTCTGCTGTGGTACATCTTCCCCGTGGGGTGGAATTGTTTTGTACCACATAAATCAGTGGGTGTGAAAAAGACAGCAATCCTTGACAAAGGTTTGGGGAGATTGATTGTACCACCCGTTTTTTATGAAGGTAGGCCAGTGTGTGCAGGCGTTTGCTCGTGCTTAACCAGGTTCTTAGGGGGTGCAGCGTGCCTTGTTATATGGTACTACAAGAACGACACGGTTGGCTTACCCGTCCCTCTTCTCTCTTCTATATTTGCGCGCTGGTTTATTTGTGTGTGGGGGGGGGGCGTGAGCAGAGAAGAGGCGCCGGATTCATGTGTAGTCTATCCATGTTTTTTTTATAATCTGGTGCTGCGTCGACCGCTGCCTTTCGCGGCCATGCACACCTTTTGAGTGAGGGACATGCCGTATGCTGCACTCAATCATTCGCGTTTCTGGGTTGTAGAGGTGTGCGCCCTACTATTTCGTTGAGCACGTGCCTACCCTTGTTTAGCTGCACAAGATGCAAAAGGTTTGAGACTCGTTCACCTCCACGACTCGAAACTTGGGTCGAGCCGGAGACGAGACGAGACGAGACGAGCTCACTCGTCGTAGGCTTAGGCTTCCTTCAATACACCGAGTCTTGCAAAGGAAGGAGGGCGGGCGGTATTCTCTTGTACCGAAAGAATCAGTACACCGATGTGAGATTAGTATTTTTTGGAAGTCGGTAGATGTTGGCGAAGATTTAGCGTCACATGCGTTGCTTCAGGGCAATGATGATGGGTTTGCAAAGCTTGCAGGGCACCGGAGGAAGCAGAGTGCTTGCGTAAACGCGTACAAAAAAGGTCGCGGCCACGGACGGGGCGGGGGCGAAAAGGCCGGCCGCAGGTGTGATAAAGATGAACCTTACATAGAATAGAAATGCCTTCTCCGTGTTTTCCTGCTCCCTCCTTCCGCGCTCTCTCGCGTCGCGTTGTTCAGGTCTCATCTCTGACGGTGACAAACGGAACTACAACAACCATTCACCATCACCAAAGCCCCTCGCTAATTTGCAGTATTGGCAATAGCTAGCTCCTGTTGGAAAATATTCTTCATTTTTTCCCGGGCACTGCTGTTTACGCACGTCGTACGCATACGTGCTCGAGCCAGCATCGTGGTTGGAGTGTTGACCCACCGAGCGTTCGCTGGGCTTCATTCATACGACACCCCCCCAACATCCACACAACCTATACCTCTCTTCCCAGCTCTACAGCAGCAGAGCAGCCAAACCTTGCGCCAGCTCGCAACTCTGAAACCGGTCATTCCTTTTCACCGCCGTATATTTCTCTCAGAGAAAAGCCATCACACCGGAAAATAACCAGACAAAAAGCAATGTCGGTAGCGGCGAGGAGCTTCTGATAATGGGGAGAGAAATTCGCTTGGCCCGTGCTCTGGCAGATCAGCTGCGAACCGACCGGGAACCAATTCTACGGGCGTGCGCACGCCACATCACAATAGAAACTTCCCGCGTCCACATGCGCTGCTCTCAAGGGACTACTCCTATCCTCTCGTGCCTCAAGACCGAGAGAACATGACACCAAAAGCAGTCGCGCAGGGCGTTTCTAAGTTTCCGCACAGGGTAGGCTACATAGTTCACCAGCACAGCAATTTCGCGCCCCGTGTACCCCCGGCAGACCACGGCACAGCAGGGAGACACATTGTCACCATCACCATCACCATCACCATCACCAAAGCATCTCGTACTCGTTCACGAATCACCAACACAACATTCCCCCCCCACCCCCCGACAAAAACCTGACACCCTTAACTGTTAAGCAGCAGCCGAGCCAAGCCCTACGACCGCCACCGCCGCTGATTATTCTACAGTTTCACAGTTATTAGTTCCTGGGAACCATCTCGTACGACGGTGGTCGTGTCTCGACCCTCGCGCCGAACCCGGGCCCCAGCGACTCCCACCTCGCCCTTAGCCCCACCGCCGCCCTGACCGACAGCTGCTGCTGCTGTCCGCCGCCGCCGCCGCCGCCGCCGCCGTCTTCCCGAGGTGACAACCCGCCGCCGCCGCCGCCGCCGCCGCCGCCGCCGCCGCCGCCTCCGCCGCAACCGCCTCCGCCGCAACCCCACAAACCCCCGTCCTCGTCCGGGTCCGATTCCGCGGGGCCCCACCTCCGCGCGCGGAGGATCGGCACCGCCGACCCCATGGCCAGCACGTGCCAGGCCCCGTGCCAGAGGTGGTACCACCCCGCCGTCGCCGACGTCCCCTGGACGGCGAAGCAGGTCAGCCCCGCGGCGAAGCCCGCGACGCCCAGCCCGAGCTGCCGCCAGTCCAGTAGTCCCCGCCTGAAGGCGACTCGCCTCAGGGACCGGAGGAGGCGGAAGATTCGCCCCAGCCGTGTCGACGGGGGCGGCGGCGGCGGCAACTCGTTGCTGTTGTCGTCGGCGCCGGTCCACCCGCTCGACCCTCCCCCCCGCCTCACGCCGCCGCCGCAGCGGCTGCCCCCGAGGCTGCGGGCTCGCGGTCGGGAGAGCACCGACAAGGAGGAAGGGTTGCAGGGGATGAAGTCGTTGTTGATGGTTGACGCATCCGTATCGTCGTGGCCGCCGCCGCCGCCGGGACCACCACCGCGCAGCACGCGAGTGCCGGCCGTGTGCGAAGAAGACTTAGCCCTGTCCCGCCCCACCAACCCTTCGTCTTCTGCGTGCCCCTCCTCCTCCGCCTCGTCCTCCTTCCCGAGTTCTTTCTCCTCGTTCTGCTCGCCCTCTCCTTCTTCCTCTTCTTCGCGAAATGACCACCCGGAGGAAGGGGAGGCAACCACCCCATGGTTGACAACCCCTCGTTTCGAGCGGCTGAGAGCGTTCCCCCGCCCCGCCCCTGCCGCCGCAGCACCTGCGGCACCAGCGCCCCTCCCTTCCTCTTCGTCCCAGTCCTCGTCAAGGGCAGCGGCCGCCGCCGCCGCGGCCGCCGCCGCCGACTCCGCCGACTCTGCTCGCCAGTGCCCTTGCTGCTGCTCCAGCAGCAGCTGCTGCTGCTGTTCCTCCGCGAGCGCGCGCTCGCGCAAGTCCCGCCTCACGAGCCTGCCCCAGTTGGAGGCGAGCAGGCCGCCGCACATCGCGAACACCACGGCCAGGTTGGCGCCCGCAGTCGGGTGGTCGGTCACCCCGACCAACAGCGGAGGTATCAGGCACACGTACAGGGAGGCGAGGCGGGACCCCGCGCCGCCGCCGTCGGCTTCCTCCCCCGCCTTCGCCGGGTTTCCAGCCTCGCTCCCGCCGCCGTCGCTTCCTCCCACCCACCCCCCTCCTGCTCCTATGCCCCCGCCCCCGGTACCCCCTCTCCTGTGCGCTCCGCTGCCGGCGGCGGGGCTGTCAACCGAAACGGAGGCCAGGCTTCCCTTCCTGCTGCTCGCGACACCGCCGGCGTGGCTTCGGTTCCGGGGCTGGCTCCGACCGTGCGCGCCGCCGCCGCCGCCGCCGCCGCTCGACCTCCTCGGATAGTGCTGGTCCCTGTCTCCGAGCAGCAGCACGCGGTCCGACGGCCCCTCCTGGCGGCCAGCGAACGCCTTGCCGCCGCCGCCGCTGTCTCCGTCGTCGTCGTCGTCGTCGTCGTCGTCGCTGTCCCTGCGTATTTTGTTGTTGCTGCTGCTACCGGTATTGTCCCCGTTGCCGTCGTCGCTCCCGCCGTCGCCCACGGCGACGCCTCTGCTAAGAAGGTGGTGAGAAGACCCGTCCTCGCTGCCGCTGCCGTCGCCGCCAACGGCGACGCCGCCGCCGGCAGACATCAAGTCGGCGGCCGCGGCCGCCGCGGAGGCGGCCGCTGCCATCGCCGCTGCGGCGGGGTTTGCGGAGACGACGGCGGAGTTTGAGGGCAGGGCGATCGTGGAGGCTAACAACGACGGCGGCGGCGAGCGCACCAGAGGCTCGTCCCACGGCATGGGACAGAGGTGGAGCACCAGGGCCGCGACCGAGAAAAAGCTGAAGAAGAAGTCCAGCGCTTGGAGGGAGTGGAAGCTCAGCATCCCCCCCGCACACGTCAGCTGGGAGGCGGGGAGGTGGGCGGACGGACGGGCGCGAACAGGGTACCGAGGGGGAACCAAGGAAGATAAAGATTGGGACGAATAAGGTAATCCAATGCGTCACGAGGTACTCGTTTCATTGATCGCCGTTAGCCTTGGGGCCGCCAGCCAGCCCTGCCTACTCGAACGACCAAAACCGATAGAGGCATATAACAAATACGTGGAAGACACAAAACTCGCCCTAAAATACACAATCCCTGCGAGCCGGCGTCGGCGCGAAGCCCACCCACAATACATAGGGGGGATGGTCCTGCTACGGTACACACGCGAGGTACACGGGCAACGATCGCGGGACGACAAGACAAGACACACCGTCGGCGGTGCTCCGCAAGGCAGTGCGCCGCACTTTTCTCACTCGCCTCAGCGTCATTCGCCGGCTGACTTGGGAAACAAGCAAAGAGCACTCTGTGGGGTGGTGAACGAGAAGTTTCCAGATCTCACAAGCGCGCGCCGTTCTGTATGCGGCGGAAAGCTGAAGGCTGTTTAAGCCTACAGACATCATGTGGAATAACACGGTACGTAGTACGGCTGACTTGGGGCAACCAGGGAAGTAAAGGGAAAATCAAAGGTGGTAGAGCGCACACAGACCTACCTCGAGGTCACACATGTGGTAGAAGGCCGACGCCGCCCCGTTGAGCCCCAAGACTACCGCCGGGGCCGCTCCCGTGGCCAGCCCCAGCCTCAAGGCCACCCGCACCGCGGGAACCACCGCAAGGTTCGAAAGCACCAGCAGGCAAAACTGCAAGGAAGTGTCAAGGCAACAAGAGCAACAGCAAAGCAGCGGCGGCGACACCAGCATCGGTCACGTGAGGCTAAGGTGAAAGAAGAAGGGGCGACGGGGGGGGGATGGTGAGTCACGGGGCTGCGAGGGGGAAGAAGAGCGACAGAGGAGGAGGCACGACCAAATTAAAACCTTTGCGGTTCAGAGGAAGGACACCCTACCAAAAACACCCCACGCTGTCTGGTGGTCAGCGGGTTACCCGGCGCCGCCAGAGGATTTGACTGGTTCCTATTGTACCGCCGTGACCGCATGAAACCTTTCTCGGAAAACCGAAGGCTTCCACACGAACACACGAACCCGCGCCGCAGCCTTTTCGCAGTCGTGAGCCATCTTTTGCCCTGAGGCCGAGCGTCGGCAGTTCACCCACCCACCTGCCAGAGCAGCGACACGTAGGACACAACGCGCTGGCCGCAGGCCTCCCCCCCGTAGCCGTAGAAGCAGTAGCACTTGGACACCGTCACGTAGTCGTCCCCGCTTCCCCCCCTCGCGGCTCGGCACTCGCCCCGGCCGATGGGACACACGTCTTCGTCGCAGTACCTGTGGGATCCGATCACAGTCGCGGAGGAGGCGGGGCCTGTGAGCAAAGAAGAAAAATGACATGCTTGTCGTTGCTGCTACTGCAGCAGCAGCAGCAGCAGCAGGGGAACTGGAGAGCTGGTCTTGAACGTGGGCGCCGTGAAAAAAACAAGGCGCGGATGGTGGTCACCGAAACAGAATTTTCATCATCATCGGCAGCGGAGGCACAATACTAGCACGCGCAGCGATGGGTTCCGCTGCAGCAAGGGTTGGTCTGTGTCTAAATGTGGCGCAGATTGTTGTGTTGTCTATGGGCCAACGCGCTTCGGATCAAAGCGATGCTAAACAAGGAGAACAAAACTGGCAGATGACACAAAACCAAATGCGTCTTCACACCGAACGCTCATATAAAAAAAATCCCCTTGTTTCGGTCCCGACTTCGTCAGCAAGGACGCACACACCCGCGGCAGCTAGTGGTCGACACGCGGATAAACCACCTACCTACGGATCTGCCGAGAAAGAGAGAGAGCGCACAAGTGTTGCCGCCATCAATACTCTCACCGGAAGGTCACCTCAGGAGCTACGCCCAGCGTCCACAGCGACACCCCCACCTCGTCGCCGCCACCGCCCTCTCCCTCCTCCACCTCTCTCTCCGCCGCCCTCCTCCTAAGCTTGCCATCTCTTCCGCCCGTCGATCCAACCCCTCCGTACCTCTTGGCACGCCCGGAGGCCTCCGCCTCGGTCTCCCCGGACACCACGACAAACAGCGTCGTAGCCGCGGTGCCCCTCCCGAGCCCCGCCCCACCCCCGACCGCCGCCGGGTGCAAGGGCGGCGGGTGCGTGAGGTTCCACGTGAACGTCGTGCTCCACCAGGGCAAGTCGGCGGCGCCGGCAGCATCGGAGCTATCGTCGTACGGCGGCGGGGGCCGGTCGCTCGCCTCTCCGGGCTCGCTGAGCGCGTCCGCGGTCCAGAGGACCACCGTTCCCTCCCGCGCCGTACCTGGGGGGGAGGGGTGGGGGGGGGGGGGGGTACGCACATGCCGCTTGTTGCCGTCGTGGATGATGTAGTTTGTGTTACGGTAGTGGCAGTATTTTCAAGGATCGTTCTTGAGGAAACAAGGACTGTAGATAGCGGCGACACACGACGTAGTTGCGGTGAGCAGCGACAAGCGAACAAGGACGTGGACTGCGCCATCGCACGCCTGTTTCGGCCTGATGTTTCCCATGGACAGAGCATAGCACGGAGCCACGAGAAGGCATCATTAATTCGCCAGGAAGAGCCAGAGCTAAGTTGTACCGCTACGGCGGAAAGCGGGGGGGGAGAGGCGCAATGTACATGCTCTCTATTGCCAAATTACAGCCAGCAACAAGACCCCGTCAATCCAATACCAGGGGTCCACAACAGACTGTTCAGGTGCCCTTGCCAGCCTTTAGCACATAGAACAGCCACCTCTCGCCTCCCTCGCCAGAAACCACGCAACCCGACTCAAGAGCACTGGAAAAAAAAAATCAAGCCCCCAGCGCCCCCCAAAATCACACAAAACAATTCCTGTGTTTCCCTCCCCGCGTGTGACCTTCGTCCTGTGTGACTCCGTCTAGTGGGGTCCACAGCAGTACCGAACGCGAATAAAAATGGCGTCCACACACAAAACAAAGAGATCGTGGCTTCCTCTCACCGTTCGGGTCAACCACCGGCAGAGCCCCCACCCGCATCGCCACGCTCAGGTTCATCGACGAAGCATTCTCCACGGGGACGGACTGAACGACGGGCGCGCCACCACCGCCTCCCCCGGCATCGCCGACGCTAGGCGACGAAAACCTGGGACCCATGTGCCACGCCGACGGGGACCCGTGGGCAGATAAGGAGGCGGCGGCGGCGGTGGCGGTGGTCATCAGCGGGGCGGAGGAATTAACCGAAAGCCTGATCTCCATGGACGCCCCGACTTCGCGCCCGGACATCTCGAGCGCGTACCACAGGGACGGCGGGCCTGGTCCCCGCCACAACCACCTTGGCGCTTGTTTGGCGTCTGCTCCTCCTCCTCCTCCTCCTCCTCCTTCTCCTTCTTCTTCTTTGCTGCCGCTCTCTGAAAGGCCGGCTACTGCCGCTGCTGCGCCACCTTCGTCGCGGACAAAGTTAGACAAGGCTCGGGGCTGACCCTGCGGGATTGTGAGAACGTAGGGAGAGGTGCAGCAAGAGGCCATCAGGATTTTCGCGTGGTGAACGCGGGGAGAGGGGGGGGGGGGTAGAGCGAGAGCGTAAGCTTCGGGTCGTTCTTATAAGGAGAGAGAAAAGAATGGTACGATTCCTCAGTGTATTGCGGTAGGCACGTGTCGACAACATCAGGGAAAACACGCGAAACCGGTAGGCGTTGGCATCCACACGCTCTCCTACCACCACCTGAGCAGCTCTGTTTTGGTGGTGAGCGTAACAGATGGAGAAGCGACTTCCCACCTCGTGAATTCTCGCAGCCCCGTCTCTCCTCATCAGCATCGGCAGCTCAGCGCCAACGCACGAGAAGCGGTGGGACTCCGTCGCCGCCGCGGCCGTCGCCGCCGCCCCCTCGCCAAACCCCGCTTCCGCCGCCGCCGTCACCGGCCGCAGGTCCACACCGCCAACACCGACGGCACCTCGAGGGCACGCCTGCGATTGTCAGGTGTCAGAGGTGGTGTGCGGCACACGCGAGCGCATGCAACACACACACATTACACCGAGGGCGAGAGGGTGCCGTAGATATATGGAATGGTATAACAGAGACAGACAGATAGAAAGAACGGCGCCGATTCTCAACAGAGTGCTTGGAAAAGTATGCAGCATTACTCCTTCCAAACAGCTCTATTGATTTTTTTCATGTGCGAATTGAAGGCATGAGAGAAACGACGCTCCTGTGATGCGTAACTGCTGTGAGAAACGGCTGGCGATGTTGCAATCGCCAGAAAATCAGCAAGCCCGGCGTAGCCACCGCTCCCGTACGGAAGCAGATAGACGGTGTCCGACAGCACACCCTCGGCATTGGGACGCCGCGTAAAGGGCGTCGTTTCGGGCACCGCCCTCCCACGAAGACCGTGTCGGCTTCCGGGGGCAACGTCCGGCACAACGAACAACGTGCGTGCGACCACACGAAGCCTCCCCAGGACAACCTGGACTAAACCTGACGACCTCCATTCACAAAACGCTCATGACACAAGACCGCCGAAAACAATTTTTGAGCAACCACCGCCACAAACGTAGATACAACAGCATCCATTCGATCTCCGCCCCCCCCCCCCCTCTATCCCGCGCGAAACCTTACCTCCGTGAAGGCGGCCGCGCGAAAAACGAAAGCGTCTTCCCCGCCGGCTGCGGACGTGCACGCCTCTCTGCCCCCCTCCCCCTTCCCATCGTCTCCCCCTCGCCGGGCGTCACCACCACCATCCCCAACATCCGGCACCAGAAAATCGGCACTCCACTCCACGTGTGCCCAGTCGCGCTGGAGGGACATCACCTCCAAGCCCCACCCTGTCCCGCTGAATATGTTCTTCTCCTCCTCCTCCTCTTCTCCGACGGCCGCGGTGGCGGGGGGCGACGCAGCAGCGGCACGAGCCCTCGGCACACCCACTCCCGTCCCCGGGCCCCCCTCGTCTCGTGACGCGTCGGCCGTCGTCGGGACATCGGCGCCTTCGGTTGATCTCCGCAGGCTTCGCTGTTTATGCCTAGCAGTCCCGGGGGCGGCATCGCACGCTGCGCGAGCCGTCAGGTACCACCGTCCAGTCTATTGTAAATGTGGTTTTGTGGTGACGTTCATGTGTTCAGTAGCACGGTGGACGAACGATCGTCATCGTAGACCACCGTAGGAGGAGGAGGAGCAACAAAAGCAATGGCATCGTGGGGACGAGAGGGGGGGGGCGCGCAGGGGGGGGGGCGGGGGTTAGAAGGCAGCGCCAGAGATGGGACATTGTAAACTTCAGGAGGAAGACCACGCAAATCGCGTCGACAGGGCGGCAAGACGCGACAAGATAGGCATCGGTGCAACCCGCTCCAATAAGGATGTACGACCGTTGTGCTCGAAGCCGATCTCTCGCGCAGATAGACCGGCACCATTAACACCATCACCACGAACACCGCCGCCGAACAGGCCGCAACGCAACTACTGTCAGTTCGAAACTAACAGCGATTCGTACAAGATACAGGAAAAAAAAAAAAAGACAGTGATCTCGAAGACAGGCAGAAGTGAAACTCGACGTACGACGAAGCACCCCGGGTCACCTGCGGTCTGTCCGGGAGGTCCAGCGTCCCGCTAACGGCTGCCCCTTGTCCCCCGACGACTACAGATAGGCAAACGCGCTGCTGCCCCCTGCCAGAGAAGTCCTCTTGCGGTACCTCCGCGTCTCCATCATCGTCCTGTTCTCCGATGCCCAACACGATCCTCGCGGCCGCCGCGCAGACCGTCACCTCACACCCGTCATCGTCATTGTCGAGCCTCCGCTCCTCCTCCCCTCTCTGGTATGTCTCCTCCTGTTCTTCACTGCCGCCCCCCGCACCCGATTGATCTCCGGCTGCCCTGCCTTTTCCCTGGTCATACCCCGCCGCCCGTTCCGTCAAACCCCGTCGCCGCTGCCGCCGCCGTCGGCGGCCTTGGTCCTCAGGCTGCCGATGTTGCTGCTGCTGCTGCTGCTGCTGCTGCTGCCGCCGCCTCCCCCCGTAGTCACTCGTCGGCAACTTCGCATCCGCCGTTCCGTTCGCCCCCAGCGCCCTTCCGACTAGACCCTCTCCTGTCCCCCTCCCCCCCCCTCCCCTCCTGACGGCGCCGCCGCCACCTTCAGTCTCGCCCCCCCCGTCGACGATAGCGGCGACTTCGAAGGGAACGGTGACGGCCTCGTCGTAGGCAGACACCGTGAAAGCGCCCAGCCACGAGGGCGAGAGGAGGAAGGCCGTGGCGGCGGCGGCGGCGTGCCCTGCGTCGTCCTCCTCGCCGTCGCCCCGCCCCTTGTCCTTCCCCTCGGTCTTCTCCGCGGTGCCCCCTTCCGTGCGTCACAGACGAAGGGTTCGTGGCAAAAATGTATGTTAGGCATGAACCGAGCGTGGGGGGGACGGCGGTAGAACGGAAAACGGATGGGTTGTCGCGGTAGTGTTCACGCGAAACAGCACCTCAAGCACAGCGACGAAGAATCTCCTCTCCACTGGTGGCGACAATTATTACGATTCCTCACGCGGAACCTTCTGCTCGTCCCAGGAAGGGTGAGTAGAGGTCAAACAAAGCCCAGGCAAACGTCAACTCCGACAAGAGACCGAGAAACACGAAGCGCGAGGACAGCGAGTGCGTAAGCGGGCCGAAGACGTTGTGCACACCGCTGTATTTGACGTACCTGCAATGGGACATCGGAAGAAAGTCCTACGGCACTCCTCTAGACGATGTCCCATTCTTGCGCCAGCCGCCGCCGAAGGAGAGATGCAACGCACACACAGCAGTGTTTTGTGTTTTCAACCGCACTGAGACTGACGTCTTTCACTGGTCAGCCGGTTAGCGCGGTCGATGCTAATAATAAAAAAAACACACACACACACACTCACCCGCAGGAAACCTGCCTAATGTGGGCAAGAAGCTACCGCGAGACCCCTGACCACCGCCGCCGACTCGTCTGGAGGCGGACGATCCCGGGGGGCCCGTGATTGTCGGGACAACCACCGGGGGTACAGCGACCTTCCGCAGGCAGTCGCCCGAAGCTGCTACACCCCGGTCTAGAGTGGGGTATACAGCGCTCTGGGCGGACGAGCACGCAGAAAAAAAAAACAGGACGACATGGAGGAATGACACACAGCGGCGGCAGCAGCAGCTGCGAGTGAGCGAGCCGGGGCCTATGTGTGCGGAATTACGGGGAGAAGCCAAAAGTTTACGCAATGCAACAAAGGGTCATGCCAAAGCACGGCGCCACTGCGCGCGCTGGGTGTACTCATCAGTCATGCGGTCTGGAGCACAATCACGCAGCAGTGTAGATAAGAATTGCGCAACAAGTAAACACGGTCAGAAACCGTACCTACACAATAGAAGTAGAGCAATTTTAAGAACACTCACATCGGCAATGACGGCTGCTTGGAATGCCAAGGTATCCGCAGGCCCGGCAAAATACCTATCCCCGCGTAGCGGCGACCCTCCCACCACGGCGAAGTGCCTGTGTTACGGTCACCCCGCCAAAACAAGGAAAAAAAAGGGGGAGGATGCGCAACAAGAGGCTAAAGAGAAAACCTGTGTAACCCAGTGTCGTTCTGCGGTACGTGGACGAATACGGTGCTGCTCTGTACATACCGTGTACAATGGCGGCGAAATAGCACACACGGTACGGTGTACTACTGTATCATACCATATCTGGCTGACGGCTACCGCTTTGACGCTGATCTTTGGGATGCCTTGTACCATCAACACGCCCACAATCAAGGCTCGCGCCTCTGTGCGTGCCTGCAGCTGTAACCTCTGCAACTTCTGACGAGTTGGAACACGAGCTACTGCTGTACCAAACAAAAAAAAACAGGCAGGTATGTACGCAGCGCGCACCAGACGCCGTCTCTGGAGTAAGACGGTCGAGTGATGACGTCCACGCCGCACGTCCCGTTCCCGGCGACGTCCGGCATGGCGTGCGCCAGGAGCTCGTGGCGGGAAGGGGTGGGCTCCGCCCCGAAGGCTGCGATGACGGCGGTGCGGGGGGTGCAGTCCTCGATCGACACCCTCACACGCGTACTCTGCCAGGCCTCGGTAAGCACCTGCGTGTGGACCACGAGGGGCAATCCGCGCGGGGAGTAAGTATTTCACACCAAGCACCACCGCGTTCTTGAAAGAGAGGTGGTTCTCGCGGAGGTGGTGAATAAATATAGCGCTCATACGCGGTGTGTCCAAGTAGGCTACATCATCACACTTCGTGCCCAGCTGCAGGGCACGCGCGGCTTGCGTCGGCGCCTCTCCTTCCCCGACGGTCTTGTCAAAGACGTGCAAAGGGCTTCGTGGAGACTTGTGTCATCAAGACTCCGGCGTGCCCACAAGCACTTTGCCTGTCTGTGTGGATTGTCCTCGTTCAGCCTCCTTCCACTGCACTAAAACAACATATAGCAGCCTCGTTGTGGTCCGGCACTGGCACTGGTGCTACACCAATGCAGCAGCGTACGTACGTATCCTGTAGTCTACATGGGTCCACTCTACCTCCTGGTCTAGAAATCTACCACTGCTGTACGTACACAACCATCGTGTCTACGGTCTACAAGTAGTCTCAAACGTACTGCAGTACGCGATGTAGCCGGACCTGGAAATAGTACATGTCGTCCCGCTCCACCTGTGCGTCTATCAACGTGAGCTGCGCGAGAGGAGAGAGCATGCTCGGCTCGAGGCCTGCGACAGGAGTCGGGCAGGACGAAATAGAGAGAGAGAAAAAGGTGTGGTACTGCTGTAACGTGAGGCGCCTCTTCGGCAAAGGTGCACAAGCAGAGCGGAGAGCGGAGTATTCTGTGTGTCTGGGAGGTTGGAAATGTGATTTGTACCGACGAATACAATTGAAGGTCCCGCACTTGCTGCCACCATACTGTAGTACATGCAGTGCGAAGAGGCCTGCTGCCGGCTGGTCAACCCCGGTGCTAGCCGTTGGTACTAGCCGCAGCACTCGAGAGAGACTTCAAATAGTCGTGCTTCGATGGCCTCTATCCCCCCGGTTACACCGGCAGAGGTAGACTACTGCTGTAGACTGGTGCTGGTACCGCTGCTGTCGTAGAGAACACCCTCACCTGCTGCTTCGTCTGCAAGCGTCAGCTCAACAGCCAGCAGAGAGCTGACCAGACACGCCCTTAAGAGCGCGGACCTCAGACGACATCTCCTGGCTCTAGACGATCCCATCGTGTGCGATGTCCGTCAGTCGCTTGGCACCGCCGATGATGCCAAAGCAGAACAAGATGGCACATCGAGCTCGGCAAATGCCTCGCCTCGCACGGGAAAAAAGCAGAAAGAGCAGGCGAGCAGGCGCGGGGGGACACGCGTTGGCAAGAAGACCGGGGGGGGTGGTCAGGCGGGGGGCCAAAGAAAAAAAAAAAAACATGCCGGGGCGGCGGGCAGCGGAGCAGAGTCAACGACAGAGCAGCGCGAAACTCAATCCTTGAACCCACCGAGCTGCGACGGGAAAGGGGGGGGGGAGTGTGAGTGTTGAATTCGGGGTGAAAGGCGGAGTGGCTGCTCGCTGCTGGAAAAAGTGGTTTTGCTTGTGCGCCACCACCGGGACGATTCCCGTGTTGTGTTAAACGGCGGGCGCTTGCTATCCTGCAAAGCAGAGGAGGACCAAGGAGCAGGGCGAGAGCCTGGGGAGCCGGGGCTGGCTTCACGGCGGGCAGGTGAGGGTGTTGCACTGGAATTATCGCGTGTGCTGGTTGTCCGTGCTGCCGTCCGTTGGCCTCCTGGTGTTGTGGAGCAAATCGACGCCCCGTTGTCCTTTGAGCGGAGAATGCCGCAAACGATGTAGCGTGTGGTATGTTGCGACACAGGGGGACATAGGACAGAGAGCCGAGAGCACGCAACGGCACACCGGCGGCCACACTCTCTCCCTCTCTCTGCTCTGTCGCCCGCTGCTGCAGAGCCGGGACAAAACGGGGTGCTGCCAGTTGTACAGACACCTTCGTCTGTGCCTCTCGCTCGTTCTTCGAGAAAAAGTTTCATGTGGCGTGCCGTTGGTACTCACGACCGTTTGTCTGTCTAACCTGCAGCCAACAGCTCACCTGGCCAGAAGCAGCCAAACCCACATCAATCTCCTGCACGAAGTCATTGCATGCCGTCCAAACTTTTACGATCCTGGTTCGTGCGGCCCAACTCTGTCCACGCCGGTAGGACTCCCCTTCGAAGGCGGAAAGTCCCGAGGCGTCACAGGATTTTGCCACACAGCACCAGTTGACGAGACAGAGAGGGGGTGGTCCAAAATGGAGGCCGCCGCGGCGAAGCTCATGGATTTCTCCCAGCCGATGGACGTGGCTCTGCTGGATCAGGTGGTTACCACGGCCTTCGACGCGAGCCATCCGCAGGTGAGAGGACTGGGGAGGAGGAGGAGGAGGAGGAGGAGGAGGAGACCTCGTGAGGTGTGTCCAGGAGTTAAACCACCGGAATCCGCAATTTTTTATTTTTCTTTGATTACACTCGAGAGGGAAGCAGCACCTACAGCAGTCAGTACAGTATGCGTAAGCTGCTGGTGTGCAAGAACTTCTCAGTACAGGGTGAGAGGTGGAAAACAAGAGAGAGAGAGAACGAGGCGGTGGGTTTTTACTTTGCCCATCTGCCCTTGCCTCTCTCTCTCTCGAATACGAAGCAGGAGTTTGTATCCTGCAGGGCATCCTCGTCCCCATGGCTGTGTTTAGCCTGTTGTTCGCAGTCTGTCTGTCTGTGACAGCCCCCTTTTGAGTCAATCTCCTGCCGGACTGCGGCTGCCGCGGCACAGCGGTGTTTGTTTTTCACGTCTCGTGGTTGTTGGAGCTCCCAGCATGCTCGACGCGCCTTGTCTCTCCGCCGCAATAGTCGTGCGGGTCGGCATCCGTTCCTCAACTGCAAGGCGGAAAAGAGAGTCATCATGATACTTGATATTTCCAGCCACCACACGAGACATGCACACAAACACACCCCAGCAGTCCGCATGTACCAAGTACCTATTCGTAACGGGTGTTGAGATATTAATTTTCTTCCAGATTGAACAAAATTTGCGGCTGCACAAACGGGCGTGCCTTGCACCACACGACACGTTAGTTGCTTACAAGCAAGGCGACAGCGATGCAGCATGCGTGTTCGTAGCCGCCTGGTCTGACACAGCAGCAGGGCAGCGAAAAGAGCAAGGGCTGGAGGAGCTAGTTTCAATCTTGTTCGCTTATGTATTTAGTTGGTGTTGATGTGCCTATTTTTTAGACGTGGCAGGAACGAAAGACGCCCCGGCGGCGGTCCGCGTTCCGTTCTTACGCGCACAGCCTGCCAACTGCCAACGTACGTGTATATACTGCTGTAGGTGTTTCCCCATGTTTCTCGCACAGCAGTGGTCGGTCCCTCCTTCCCCTCTTCCCGCTCGTCGACAGGCAGCAGCAGTGTTGTAGTGTCGATTACATCTTCTAGACCGAACCACGGTTCCTCGTGTGTGTTTGTAGTGTCCATTACACGGCAGAGATTCGCAACCATTTTTGTTGTAACGGGCGACCGAGATCTTAATAACGCCGCAAGAAATGTAAACATGCTCCGCACGAAAAGACGGATGCGAGACAGACGTGCCGCCACCCTGTTGTTGTTGCCTCTGGGCACGGGATGCGAATATGAAGTTGCGGGGGGTGCTTTGCCCCCCTAGTCATGCACACACACAGGTGATTGAGAGCTATATCCGTCCGTTGCCCATCCTTACATGTTTTTGACAGGGGACCTACGATCTCACAACTCTTGGCGGTGACATCTGCATCTATCATCTGGGTTGAAATAACACCTCCCCACCCCCTCCGCTCCTCCGCCCTGTCCCTCTATTTTCGGTTGTGCCGTACCGATGCCGATGTATTGTCTTTGTTAATTCTTGCGTGAAATGAAATGGAAACAGCGCAACGATGCGAACATTCTCCTCATGAGGATGAAGGAGAGCCCGGATATGTGGCAGCAGGCGGGGACCATACTCGAGCAGTCCCAGAGCCAGCACACTCGGTTCATCGGTCTTCAGGTAGGGGGGGCGAGGGCTGACGAAAACGTTAGAGACGGCAGGGGGCGAAATCGCGTACCAGTAGTAGCAAACGTTGTTTCGCCTTCACCGCTTCGGTGATGCGGAGAGATTTATGGAAACACAGGTCTCTTGGGTGTAGATCGGCGTGCGATCGCATGTGTCGCGCGCGTGTCGATGAGGGCGAATTTTTTGGTACGGGAGGTGTGCTGTGAGCGACCACGTACCACGAACAAGCTTCGTTTACCCCGCAGACGTCAACGCACGCAATGGCGGCGGCGTAGTTGCTGTGGTGTGCGGTCTCTTAGGTAGCGTATTACACCACGGGCATATTTTGTTCAGCCCTAACGTCCACGGTGGCCGGCCGCGCCATCCAGGAGTTTGCGATGTTGTCGCGCACAATCTTTTCCCGGCACCTCAAGGCCATGGGCGTGGGTGCAAGCCAGCGCTGTCGTGTTGGAGGTTGCTCGGCCCACTGCTAATTCTGTGCACTTTAGTATCTCTCGCAGCAGTTGACACAACAAGCAGAAGCAGCAGCAGCAGCAGCATGTTATCGTAGCACCACTGCTGCCAGGGTTGCTGTTGAAATGTTTGTTTGACACTCCAACTTTTTTTTCTCGTGTGATCTTGTGTTGTAATTGTAGTCACCGGTTGCTTTTTCCGACCGTTTAAGTGTACGTGGTGTTGAGCAGCAGTTCGTTTCTCGTACGAGTGCGTGCCGTGCTTGCTCTGTTGGTTTCAACCGTAACATGACGTCAGCCTTCGCGCGGGGCAAACGAACCATGAACCGATACGTTTTCCGCCGACTCCAGCCTCGGGCTGGCTTGAGAGTATTTTGTGTGGAAGAAGACATACCGTTGTCAGCATCTCTACTGCTGCTGTTGTGCGTTTGTAACCGGAGAAGGCCCGCAGTTGAGGAACGCCGAATTGGGGACGACACTGAGTTTCTTTTTTCGTCGGCACGGTCTTGCACAGGGTACAACACAGGCATGGTAGGGTATTTGTGTAGATTCCACCGCTGAGCTGGGCGTAGTTGTGTTTGCTCACCTGGCCCACTTTCTTCTTATTTTTGGTGAAAGTTTGAGCCTCTGCTCCTTGTCTTGACGGAGTTTTCCAACTCTTGATTGCGACCCCGTTGCATGTGTACTCTATATGGATTGTTTGTGGTTTGGCGCGGCGCAGATCTTGGACGGGGCAATCCAGACGAGATGGAGAATCCTGCCGCAGGACCAGCGCGACGGCATCAAGACCTACGTTGTGGGCAAGATCATACAGGTCTGTGTTAACGTTTCTCTGTGTGCGTTGAGATATGGAGGTCGATGTGTGTATACGTGTATACTGCTGTACGTTGAGATGAGATGCCCGCTATCTGCTGTCCGTCCGTCCGTCTCTTAGTCCGTTAATTCTGTGCTGTTTGTGGTGGGGGGAAAAGCTGGCGGCGCGTCGAGCAGGCATTCGTGATATCATCATGTCTCGTTTCTTTCCTTCAGAACCAAGCAAGTGTGTTTTTCCCGTCGTGCACTTCGTACTGCCACTGCCACTGCCTGCATCCGCTCTCGCCCTTGGCTGGTGCGAAGAAGGTAAAGGGTAAAATTTCGGCGACATTAGTTCCTCGATCTGAACCAAAAAATACTTGCACCGTCTTCCCCATGGTGCGTTGTACCCGTCCGTCTGCCGCCCTGTGTGCGTGTCTCTCGGCGTTTGTCTTGCCTTTTTTTGCCGATGGCGACGTTGCGCGCCGTGTGGGATGGGATGGTTTGTCCGGACGCGGTGGTGGTGGTGGCGGGTGGCGGCTGGGGGGGGGGAACACTATCCTGCTGGGGGCGACTTGGCGACGCGCAGCTTTCTCAGACGGAGGAGTCGTTGCGGCAGGAGCGGATATTCATCAACAAAATCAATCTGGTGAGGCGACAGCACAGGGGGAAGGCAACGTCGAGAAGG